TCGGTAGATATACCTGGTGTCATATATAACATAACAGGATCCTTATATAATCTGATAAATCAAAAAAACTTAGTAATTATCCATAAATATGAAATTAACTATTGAAAAAATAATATTACGATTCAAGCGCTTTCAATATTTACTTAATTTTATCAGTTTTCCAGATTTTACAGACTTTATGACACCAGGTAAGTTCACTGATGAATATATACTCATATCGACCATTCTTGAGAACTTAAATTTCATGCTCATGTTAAGACGTAGTATCACTTTAAGGTACAATTTACGACGTATTTGATAATAAAATAATCTTTGTTATTGCAAAGTTACAATATATTGAGTTTAAAGAAGCACAAGATATATATTTCTGACATTTATTAACTCAACGTTTCACATGCTCATACAGACAGTGTTATCAAAGGAACAAAATGTACGCTGCCTGTATGAGCAGGTAAAACATTGAGTTAATATAGTATATCCATATCTTGAGCTTCTTTACCTATGCCTATTTCTATTTGTCTTACAAACAATATTGACTTTGGCTGAGTTTTGCTAGAATTATTCTGTAGCACCATAATGATCATCTGTCCGCATTCTTTCGGTATCGGATGAGCCCGACTGTACATATAGCTTAATTTAAAGGAAGAAATAGTGGTGATGACGGCTTTTTTTATGTTTTTCATTTATACGTTAAATCAATAAAAAAATTTTTTTATAAAATGTACACTATGATGACCTATCCATATTTTTTAACTTTCTGGCGTCAAAACTGATGAATAAGCACAAGCCTCGGCTTTCTGTAAAATATATAAAATATATATTTATACATTGTAAAATAGAGGCAATTCGATAATTTTTAATCGGTAGGCAGGTGCTCAAATGAAGGAAAACTACAAAATGTAGAAGAGGTGTCCTTAAACTTAACTGATTCTTTTATCTTTTATCTTGTAAATTTTTAGAACGCCAAAACTATAATTTGAAAGGGTTATGTTAACCTAGGGTGCCGCAACGTGCCCAACTGCACAAAAACGACTTGTAAAACGAAACTAAAGGTAGGGTTGGGGTAAGGTAAGGTAGGGATAGGGATCCTTAAACCTACCTAACCCATCCCTAGCCCTACTTAACCCTAGTTGGGCACGATGCGGCAAGTTGGACAATGCGGCAGAACGAACCCACCGGTGAACAATCAGAATTCACATACGAAAAATTCTATTCATCACGTTCCCCCCAGTACCTTCTTCTTCTTCTTCTCCTTCTTCTATTTTACAAGCTGTGGGGGCAACATTTCTACCACAATATTCCAGTTAAAAAAACTAGATAATTTTACAGTGTAAAAAAATGAATAAACTATTGTAAAACCAATTGGTATGTGAAAAAAAAGTCTGAAAATATATATTTACGCCTTGTATAATTTGTATGCCTTATATTGTATGATTAAATGACCAAGTGAGACTGGTTAGATTCAGACGTTATTCATAGGGTTCTTTTGGAACTAGATGACTCCCACTTTGCATATATTGTCATAATTGAAGCTTGAAACTGTCTATATCGTTCTTTTTTGCACAGAATACACTATTTATTGATCGTGCAGTGTACATCATAACCTGAGCAAAAACCTTATATCTTGTTTCCAAGTTGTTATATGAAAGCTCTAGCTACTCTAATAGTCAAAATTATATTTATTCACATGAATGCCTAAAGTCTCAAAATTTCTTTTAAAAACAATTTCAAACTTGACCTCTTACGATAACATGGTAACTGAAGGTTTATAATCAACCAAGCAAAAACCTCTTAAAGATTATTTGGTGGCCTTGAATTATGGTTATTTATTTATTAGATTGAGGTTTGTGAATATTGAAGTAATATGTTTGTACTATGGGGCAAGTATGGAAAAAAATCGTGGTACTCAATGCCTGATGTGAGAAATGGAAACTCTCTATTCATCTCATCGTATTACGAATACGGTTTTGACATGGTCTTATTAACCCGTATTAAACTAAGCCCACTACACTTCATTTTGGGGGTGTGGGAATGAGATTGGTGTGATTTAAATATGACCAATCAGATCGGTAGAACAGATTGCCGCCGCTCATTTGAAGAGATAAGAACGCATTCTTTCCAAGTAAATATTCCAAAGAAAGGTTTGATTTTCTTTCAGCTTCAAAACAAAAATCTTACTCAATTCTATTCCGCAAAAACAAAGCGTCATAACGAGTGATTTGCTTTGATTTGTCGGAATTTGCTATCATTACAGTATGGCCAATTTGATTGGACAATATTTAGCTCTGAATAGGTAATTTTTCTCACTTGAGTTACCGCGGCCCCGAGGAAGTATGACGATTGATGGTGTGGTTTGGATACGATGTATTCATCCCAAAGATTCAAGATCTTATATTATTATGAACTCGGCATTTAAATTTATTCATATATTTATACTCTTTTATTCCTTTAAAGATGAAGATTACATATCCAATATTGTGACAGCAGCAATATCATCCACCTCATATTATCCTGTACAATTTGCCAAAAACAATATATTGGAAAAGCAAACAATAAATCGAGAACCCGATTCAATGTCCACAGACTGATTTGATATAAATCATAATCTGAATAAAACTGTGGGTAAACATTTCAACCAGTTATCTAATATAAAGACATAGTAACAGTAACAAAAAAATCCTACTGTTACAATAGTGCTCTATATATCAATTGTAGAGCAATACAGATATATTAATACATATATATATTTTTTTGGTTCTGTTTTAATATTTCTTAATACGTGGTTAAATAGATTTCGGGAAAGGGAGGATTTGATTCTCCCAAGTGTAAAGGCCTTGAAGGGAACAAATGCCTCACCAAGAATAATTTGAATAAACAGTCTATAACTGCTGGATATTATTCTTTTATTCTGATCTGAAATTTGATAATAACCCGCCCAAGGGCGAGAGGTTAGATTGTTACATACTAATGGGCTTTAATAATAAATATAAATACATATATAAATAGAATTATAAACGAAAAATTACGATTAAAAAACAAAGAAAAGGTAAAAAAAATGGTATAAATACTGCTTTGGAATGACATTTTGTTCAGTTGAAAGTTGTCGCATTTTACTAGTCTATGTAGAGCTATAGAAGAATAAATCTAACCACATTTATCACATAAAAAATATCGCCACCAGTATCATTGTTAACCATACAGCATATCTTAATGAATAATGTGCTGTGCTATTTCAGATAAAGAATAAATTTAAATACATGTTGGGGTTCCAGACTACTATGGAAATGTCTGTAAATACTAAAATCAGGGTAACTGTTTACCGTTGATTTGAATTATACAGTTCTTACTGATACAGATGAACACAACCCTAAAGGTGTAATTTTTTTTTAGTAAAATTGGTTTAGTTTCCAGTAACTTCTATTCTAGCAATAAATGATTATACTGATGGTGATCTGGTATACTACTACTTAAACAAAGCATAATATATTATCTTGGTATACTATTACTTAAACAAAGCATAATATATTATCTTGGTATACTATTACTTAAACAAAACATAATATATTATCTTGGTATACTATTACTTTAACAAAGCAGACCATATTATCTTGGTATACTATTACTTTAACAAAGCATAATATATTATCTTGGTATACTATTACTTTAACAAAGCAGACCATATTATCTTGGTATACTATTACCTAAACAAAGCATAATATATTATCTTGGTATACTACTACTTAAACAAAGCATAATATATTATCTTGGTATACTATTACTTTAACAAAGCAGACCATATTATCTTGGTATACTATTACCTAAACAAAGCATAATATATTATCTTGGTATACTACTACTTAAACAAAGCATAATATATTATCTTGGTATACTATTACTTAAACAAAGCATAATATATTATCTTGGTATACTACTACTTAAACAAAGCATAATATATTATCTTGGTATACTATTACTTTAACAAAGCAGACCATATTATCTTGGTATACTATTACCTAAACAAAGCATAATATATTATCTTGGTATACTATTACTTAAACAAAGCATAATATATTGTCATAGTATATCAATATCTTAACAAAGCAGACCATATTATCTTGGTATACTACTGTTTAAACACAGCAGAATTGATTATCTTGGTATATTATTACTTAAATAAAGCAGACATATTGTCATAGTATATTAATACCTTAACAAAGCAGACTATATCTTGGTATACTACTACTTAAACAAAGCATACAATATTATCATGGTATTACTTTCAAGAAAACAGACAATATTATCATAGCACACTACTATTTTAACAGAGCATACTAATTATAACTCTTGTGCATGTCAACGCTGTAGTCCAATATTTTCTAAAGTGCAATATATACAACAGTAATTATAAATAATGGTTCAAGATAACCTTAATTTGTGAACCAACCAAACTGCAGGCATAGCTACTTTTGATGTCTTGTTTAATACCAGCAATCAGGCAAGTAGGGTAGTTCATACCCATTATGGGAGTAAAAATAAACAGAACTTTGATGACAACCTTGATCACAGCAAACGTAAACCCATTAGTATAACAATGTGACCTCTCGCTATTGGGCGAGTTATTATTTTTATCTAATTTCAGATTAGAGCATAAAAAATATACCAGACCAGACCCTTTATTCGATTTTCCTAATGAAATATTTGTTCCATTCTAGATCTGTACATTTGAGAGAATCAAACCCCCCCCTTCTCCGAAATAACATTAAATATTTTTTAAGAATTGTGCCTTCTAGAGTGTTTACGAAAGAACTTGTTTTCAAGAACAAAGTGACTTTCTGGGCACATGACATACTACGACTTCAACGCTCTACGAGCCCAGTGGAGAAGAAGCACCGAAATAACGTCGTTCCACCGTGATATCACTATTCGAGGATGCTTGTGTAAAATATTAACGCCACAAGAAAGTTGAGGCGAAAGTAAACGTTCTAATTTAAAATTTATTTATTTGAAAAATAAAATTTATTAACATCATTATATTCTTCAAAGTGCAAAGATGATAAAACACAAAATTCGATTGCTGAACAAAGTATTATTAGATTGAAGTTCCAGTCTGAAGTTTTCTGAACACCGAGAATTAGAGTCAAGTTTATCAAATCTAATTTCAGAAATGAAACAATTGGCATATTGGATGTATCCAAATCACTGATAACAATGGATGATTTTACTCTAGATAATTGATGTTTCTTTGGACGAGTTGTATCCAATTCTGGTTAAGATGTATTCCAGTCAAAGGTATCCTGGACGTTTTATCCAATCTACATCATAATTACCCGTATCCTGGAAAATCTGTATCCGAATACTTGTGTCCTATGTTACTTGGTTAGTTATTATCATACAGATAGTCCAATGCATTTGGTATTAAAGCTAATTTTTTTCGGACGTCATCGGGCAAATCACCATCTAAAGTATACCTGAAATGACACAAATTAGAAATATTAAGCATTGTTGTGTTTATAGGTGTAAAGGAGATGACAATTATGCGGGCCATTCTGGTTTAAGGAAGTTGCCGTTGTCATGTTTGCTATTTTGACATTGATAAGAGTTTTTCTTAATACGTCAAATGAAGGGAGTGTAGACCTCCATTTCTTATTGATGTGTGTATATTTTTTCAGGACTTTGAATGTTTTTTTTTTTTATCTAAATCAAGTCAGGCAGCACAGGACTATTTTGAGATTCGGTCTGGTTCGATACCATTAAGTCATCGATATGGTGGGTTCAAATCCTTAATGACTGGAATATGAGCCTAAGTGAACAAATATCAGATACAAGTACCGACATGTAAGGTTACACACGGATATTGGTTAATACTCAACGAGCACAACCTGTTATGTTTCCTCAATGATAAAGCTAGCAATAAAAACAAATTCTTACAATAACACAAAAAAGAAATAAATACTCACTCTTTACAAACACCATTCTTATCGACAAAAGCAAATAAGTCTTCAGAAGGCTGTATTCCAAGATGGCTGTTATCTGCGAACTGAATCCAGATAGCTCCAGATTCCAACTGAAATTCAAAAATTATATATCAAAGAGCAATATAAATGGAAAGGATACTGTTATTTACTGAACAATGTTATTTTGTATCGAGGCACTTGAATATCTAAATCAAAAACTTTTAATCAGAGCATGTGACTATGAATGTAGGTTTCGATGTTTAAGTATATTTACCTGAGTTGCTAGACCGATATCAGGTATCTCAGTCTGTATCACTGTTGTCTTTTTATCATGTTCAATATCATTCAGGTCATCAATATGCAGGGCATTGTCATTATTGGTATCATTTTCATAGTCAATATTATTGATATCATCAATGTCGTAGTCAATATTATTGATATCATCAATGTCATGGTTAATATTATTGATATTATCCATGCTTGTATCATCATCACTAAAACCTCTATCGTCTTCTATTACAAAGGTTGAGTTGGTCTGGTTGTTTTGATGTTCTATTTTTGCTCTTCGTCTGAAATAAACAATAGAAATGTTCATCTAAAAGGAGAGGAAACTGGTAGATTTGGTTTGAAAAAACATCCACAGCCCTTTGACCCCGATGCAATCAAATGTTTAATTACTAATCCTTAATTATCGGATGTTCTTCCAAGAAAACAAGGAATTTGTATACCACATTATACTGATATAAATAATATCCCAATTACTTGGGAATAGCTTGAAAAAGCTCTTTTTACGCTTCTAGATATTCTTCAAATTGTCTGAAAAAGCAATAACTTTTTAACAGTGATACGTTTAGGCATGAATAAAACTATCGAAATGTTTTTGACAAAAACCTCACCTTCCAAGTATAACTGGAAACATTTCTTCTGATTGTTTAGACTCGTCTACAGAAGATTTTATTAAACCTTCTAATTGTAAACATTGCTTATGACACTGAAATCAAGTTTTTATTTTATTAGTAAATATATGAATGTGAAGATGTTTGATGAAATGTTAATATTATTGCAGAAAGAAACTGGAGAATTTGATTTTCTTTTAGATTGGTAGCAATGTCTAATGTTTAAAGTTCATTTCATAGGAGGTTAGAAACATTGTGAACTAGGGTGGTTCAAATACACTTTAAGCCATTTTCATCAATTCATTATCGTTTATACACACGAGCAGTATTTGTACAGATAGTATCGTGGACTAATAAAGAACATTTAATTCTGAATAAAATACAACCATTTCTCGAGAGACTTATATGTCCATTCGGTAATAATCTCAAAATATTTCAATTAATTTACATCAATTTTACGGTCAACACATTTTCTCATTAAGCAATATTAACAGTTATTACCTTCTTGGCAAATTTCATCAGAGAATAATCATCTTCATCTGTGTGATTTCTTAATCTTGGACTAGCAATCGACAGACCTTTGCCTTCATTTTCATTTAGTAGTTGTGTTCCTCTCCATGTACTTAGATACGTCTTACCTGGACAAAATATATTTCATTATTACATATTGCATTCGCATATCAATTGAATGATTAAATGTGTTTATAGATGTTGAGTAATATATAATAAAATGTATTCGCAATGTTGTGCAATGTAACATGTTGAATAAAATGTATTCACAGTGTAGTGTAGTGTAATTTAACATGTTGATTAATATGTAATAAAATTAGTGTAATGTAACACAATGAATAATATGAAATAAAAATGTAGTCGGAATGAATTGTAATATAACATTTTCAATATGTAATAAAGATGTCGTAAATGTAACATGTTGAATAATATGTAATGAACAGATTTATTAACGTCTTCGTTCTATTGGCAACAGTATGTGGACAATCAAACAAGCTGCACTTACAGTATATATAAAAGGGGAAGTTCTCATTTATCTGGCCTCTTTTCAAATCTATCTTATCATTATGGTTGCCGTACATGGCCAGAATACAGAACTTAGATCGGTGTGTCCAATTGCACTGACATAGACTAATCAGATTTCTTGATTTTATTTATTTATATGAATCGTTAGCAGTAACTTTCTGATAACAAGATTTAAACAAATATATGTCTCACCGTTATAAAATTTAGCCATGAAGCATGGGTCGGGAAAGTTTTCCATCAGCATGCATTTAGCTTGTTTATTATACATGATTATCTTAGGTGTTTTAGACTTTACTAAATTCACAAATCTGTAATACAATATTTTAACAGAATAGTTATGGAATGTAGCTTACGAAAATGACCCTTTAAACATAAAACTCTACTTTCAGTTAATGAAATAATGCAGTGGCTACTGTTCTGTCACTATGATTATCATAAGATTTATGACTCTTCCAATAATATGATTTGTCCGTGAACTTCGATTTACTTGGTTAAAAATGACTAACAAAATCCACTGTTAGTAAGAGATCGTATTATCCGGTCAATAAATATACAACTAACCGATTAATCTCTAAATATTCAATCTTTATCGAATATTTTAAGTAAGTGTCCGAGGGAGTGAATATCCGATTTTCGAAGATTACAGAAAAGTGAATAATATATTCAGCGAACAGAACAGATGACGGGAATATCTTGTAGGTAAACATCTGATTTACAAACCTTCTTGCGTATTCATATTTCTTGTGAAATTTCTGTGGTAAACAGTCCAAAGTAAACACTTTACGTTTGTAACTTCTGGGTGAGGATATGTAGTTTCCTCTGTCAGTTGTATTTTTGTACTGCATCACAGTAATCTTAAAAGAATCAAAAAATCAATAGTAACATTTAAACAATTTTATGAAGCTTAAAAAGTTTTCCCTTTAAAGGTAACGGTCACTTGCTCAAAAGCTGCCATTTGGATTTCAAACAAAACGACCAATTTAAACATAAGATAATATACTTATCGTATAGTAAAGAAACCAACTTTGCCAGTTTTATTGACAATTTTGAACAACAACCTGGTACAAATCTTACCTCTTGGCCGTCTGAAGAAACTTCTAGTGATTCGACCAAAACTTCTATATTATTCCTTGGTTGAAATAGTTCAATACAAACAGTACCGGATTCTCGTATAGATAACTGAAAAATATCATGCGTTCAGTTAATAAAAATGGCACCATAAACACCATTGATAATCAAACTTAAAAGTCGGATTATCAGACAATATATTTGAGTACAAAAAATGTTCAGTACAATTCACGGATTGTTTTAGCTCGTAAATAATAAAATGTGGACAATTGAAATACTAATGACACTGAGTAGAACCCTGTCCATCCCAAAATCCATCAGTTTACTGCAATTATTTAGCTTCAGATTCCAAAACGCAGACGTGGATATTCCATAAATTGATCTTAAGGGACAAAATGCAACTTACACCGGTCTTTTTGACTCTTTCTGAGATAGGTTTTAATCTGTACGTGTTTAATGGTGCTAGAATCCTCTCTGGTTTCAATACCCTTTCCGTCTCATATCCAGGTACTATCATCAACAAGTTGTTGTTTCTTTGATGTGCGTGTCCAATGACTCCAGTGTGACGTTTTGGTGTTGCATAAGGAGATTGTGTCACGTTAACTATTGCTTGGGTGAAATATACTGCTGGTTTAGACTGTGGACAGACTTCGTCTTGAGGAGGATCAAACCCGGCTCTTGGTGATATAAAATCCGTCCGATTTAATTGGACGGTTGTTCCAGATATTCTGGGAGTGGATTGATTTCTTGGTGATGGAGTAAGCAAGCGAGGTGTATGAGCTGTGCTTCCCAATGCCAATCTAACCGTCTGGTCCAAATCAGCAGTTTGGGTGCTAACTGAAGACAAATTTAGCTCTGCTAAAGCCTCAAAGACTTCTTCTTCCTCGTGAGTTCTTACAACTTCAATATTAGCCATTTTATCTGCAACAAATAAACAACTTTGGTTTGAAAACTGAACGACACATGCATATTACCCAGTTCTTGAAAAATACCTCGAATAATTTTAAATACTTACATGTAACTGTAAAGCAGTGATATATTGAATGACGAAATTCCTTTCTTTCTAAGAAATATAATTTCGAAGCCTTGTAGATGCGTGTAATTGATATATATAACTTTTATGTTGGAGATATCAGGTGAAATATACTATTTACCAAATGTCAACGGGTTTTATATGAAATTTCTGCAGAGGATCAAACTGATAAACAAACAGTTTATACTAATCCTTGAAATCCGATTAGGATTAATAGAATATAATTGAATGATTAGTTAATATCGTCTCCTAATTAATGAGAGTACAACACTTTTCTTCTATTTCAAAGTTTGATTTCATTGGCAACTAAAACTGTAAACAATATATGTCATACATAAGATTGTTAAATTTCTTATTATTTCTAAATTTTATGTATTTCAATTTTGTATTTATTTCAATTTTTTACATTAATCAGTACGTTAAGGAGGATGAATTCAGTCTGAACATTTTATACGGCGAACGGATTCTAATTCAAAAAATCCCTTTATGGCGTCTGATAAAGATGATCAATCTAAATCACAAAATGTTTTCAAAATAGTATTGGTCGTCTAATAGCCGCCACACCGAAACGGCGTCCCTACTGAGCTGCTGCTGCGACAGAAAATTAGCTCAGAGCATGTGAAGGTCGCCATAAGCTTAGCATAAGCGTGATGGAAGCGTCATATACCGTACGGTACAAGCGCAGTAACATCTCCATAAACGCAATAAAATTGAAGTGCATTAAGTAGGCTTTATTAAAAAAAACGCCTTGGGAACGCCAGGGTGACGGAGCTTTGAAATATGAACTTTATGTAGGTAACAAAAAAAGAAGACAGTGGCACATACATTTGTATTATGATTCTGGTATGGCATTACAATGGGCGATTAAAAAGCACTATTTGGGGCAATTTTGTGTACTAAAAATCCGTACAAGCAAGACAATTCCGTTAATCAAGATCTCGTCCAAAGCCTGGTAAAATCAAGAGTAAAAATATTATAGTAGTGGACTCCACCAAAGAGAAGTACCATCACTCGTATAAGTTTTGAGAGGGAAGACTTTTTTGTATGCAACTTTCCAAACTATATCATATAGCATAATTAGAGGAAAAGGGATGATCTGGATACCAAGTGTGATTGTACTATTGGAATTTTTGAGTTCAGTTTTATTACAGAATTATTAGATTTTATTGACTTCATAATAACACTATAGATATTTTGAATGTCATAATTATGTTATTTTGTTAGCTATCTCTTACAAAATATTCAAAATCCAGATTTTCGAAACTAATCAATGTTATTTATTTAATTTCGAAATCAGAGATAAAAGGAAAATGAAATATTTGTAATGAGTATTCAAACATTAGAATAAAATGTTCATAACATATTGAGACAAACATTGACATTTTTTCTAAAACATAGAATTTATTTTTTGTGTTCAAAGCATGGAGATATTTTAAGTGGTAACATTGGTAACCATCAAACATTTCAAAATATCCATTGAAGGAAAATGAAAATATTTGTATACCTTATTTCAAATCATGAAATTTATTTGATATTTAGAAAAGTAATTTTAAATTTGCAAAAATGGCTCCTTTTAATTCTAGTGAAATATTGATTCTTTTGATCTGTACATGTGGTAGGCACCATGGAGATATTTTAAGTGGTAACATTGTTAAACATCAAATATATTCAAGATATGCAATATTTGTTGGTAAAAATACAAAGTTTAAGATTATAAGATTAAAAAAAGTGGATTATCTCTAATTCATAGTTCACTATTGATCTTGACAGCAACTGGTACATTCTGTGTCTCGTCATTTCCTGATAGAATTAATTAGTTGATAACAACGGAGATAATTAATGTAAAACATTTTTTGCGATATTTCTTATTTTCAATAGAGTCCATTCTTGGATGGTGACTAACACTCACACAAAGTTTCGTCAAAATCAGCCAAGAATTGTGCCTTATGGAGTGTGTACGAGCAATTGTGGACGGATGGATATGAGTGACGCCAATATACGCTCCACACATAACTCCATGGTGCATACCACATTTACAGATCAAAAGAATCAATATTTTACTAGAATTAAAAGGAGTAGTTTTTGATAACTGAATTCATATTCACAATTTGTATTCTAAATATCAAATAAATTTCCTAATTTCGAATAAGATAAAATACTTTCGATTTATCTTCCTTGGATATTCTAAAATGTTTGATGTTTGCCAATGTTACCACTTTAAATATATCCATGGCGCCTACAAGGCTTCGAGCACAAGTCATTTGCTTTCATCCAAAATATCAATGAAATCTTCCCACATACAATAATAGCTTTTATTTAGTTTGAATATCATTTGTAATTAGAAAGTATATAAGATAATAAGAATACTTGAATTTGAAATAAAACAAATTATTTACTCTAAATATCACAAATATTTCAAAAATTTGAAATAGAAGGAAAGTGTCAATGTTTGTATCAATATGTTACAAACATTTCATTCTAATGTTTAATTACTCATTATAAACATTTCATTTTCATCTTTTTGTATATTCGATTTGTTTGATTTCGAATTTTTTTATTTGTTTGATTTCGAATTTTTTTCAACATGTAAATATTTTTAGTTTTTTCTATGTCACTAATTATCCCAAAAGGCTAACAACGTTAACAAGGAATATACACTTTTATCACAGAGAACTGACAATTTTACACAGATATTGCATTGTTACCATCAACTTTACAATTATATCACAGAACACTGCATTATTAGCATGCAATTTACAATTTATCATAGAAAGCTAATAAATTGAACTAAATTTCCCAGAACAAGGGCAATAACTCAGATTAAATGTATACATATTTTTTTTATTTTCGATAGGATTCATACTTGGGTGATAATAAACAATCATCACTCCAAATTTCATAAAAGTCAGATAAAAACTGTAGTAATATGGAAGGACAGGGACGATGGCAATATACGTTCACAAATTGATGTGGGCGTATAAAAATGCTCCTTTTAATACTAGTGAAATATTGATTCTTTTGATCTGTGCATGTGGTAGGCTGCATGGAGATATTTAAGTGGTAACATTGTTAAACATCAAACATATTCAAGATATTCAATATTTATTGGTAAAAATAAAAGATTATCAGATTAAAAGATGTGGATTATCTGTAATTCATAGTTCACTATTGATGTTGACAGCAAGTGGTACGTTCTGTGTCTCGTCATTTCCTGATAAAATTAATTAGATAAGAACAAGGGAAATAATTCATGTAAAATACTTTTTGCGATTGGAAAAATTCAAGATATTCAATGTTTGTTGGTATAAATACAAAGTTTAAGATTATCAGATTAAAAGAAGTGGATTATCTCTAATTCATAGTTCACTATTTATATTGACAGCAAGTGGTACATTCTGTTTCTCGTCATTTCTAGAAAGAATTAATTCTTCTGTAATGAGATAATTTAAACTACTGAGTATATGGAGAATAACAAGATAATTAATAAACAATAACAATCAATATCAAACTGAGTTTAAATTCACTCAACATTCTCAACAAATCAATGATATAGAAAAACTGAAAAAGTTTCCTTGTTGAAAGAAATTCGAAATCAAACAAATGAAGAATAGAAAAGGAAAGAAAATTAGAAAGCATAAAAAGAAATGTTTATAATAAGTTATCAAACATTAGAATAAAATGTTTATAACATATTGAGACAAACATTGACACTTTCTCTAAATCATAACATGTCTTATATTTTGAAAATTTATTTCAAACTTTGAAATATATTTTAAACGGTATATAGCACAACCTGCATTTGATAACGGATAGGTTGCTAAAATGACCTAAAGATACAATATAAGGGTCGATATTTTGGATAAGGTCACCGATTCTCTTAGATAAAGTTAGAGTGGAATGGGCTTAAAGCATGTGGAATTTAGACATTGAAATATCTAAAGTGACAGCATTTTTTTAAAATCAAGTCATATTAATTATAATAATATTTATTCAAATAAATTAAAATAGAATGTATGATAGTAAAGTTTCTTAATGGCATTGGAGCAAATTCTACATAGATTGACATGTTGTGTTTATTTATTCCAATTACAAACCAATCGTCCAAAATCTATTTAATTAAAATCAAGAGTTATATTGAGAATGGCCATACATAAAAGCTGGAATCTAAGAAATTTGTTTATATATTTCAATTACAATTTGGTATCTGAACCTACAAACAGTACAGAACTATCAAATGAGATACGGCTGAAAATAATTTCACCTTTTCGGTTTCTTTTCAATTGCAGATATAAATGGAAAATCTAATCTAATTATTACTTAAACCACCGAGGATACAAAGAATAACAAGATAATTAATAAACAATAACAATCAATATCAAACGGAGTTTAAAGTAAACTATTTAATCTTGTGTTTACTTGACAGTTTACAAACAAACTTCTTGACAGCTGACTATAAAACCAAGTAAAATTTTCAAAGATCTTCAGTATTCATTAACTTCTCTTACTTCCTACATAGCTATATTACAAATATGGAGTTCTTTCATAATCGTTCACAAAATTTAAATTTGAATAGTACTTTAAGATATGAGGACAGCTACGTCAATTCCTTACAATTTAATGGATATCAACTAATGCGACCATCTTCAGTGATCAATGACCCTGTTTTTGACAGTCATATACCATCAACACCACCTCATCTACGAGTAGCATCACCTAAGACTCCCCCTACGGTCATAAGAAGGTATGTATTGTCTATATTATTAATCAATTTTAACTTGATCTCATTTTCGGTGTTCCAACATCACTAATAATTTTATATTTCAATATATAATAAGAATTGCTATTTCCTTTAATTCTGCATTTCCATGGATCAAAACACTAGCCAAAATGTCAACATGTTATCAACTGCAATATACAATATTAAAAAGCTTACATAATGGTATTATTACGTACCACAATATTGCTTATTAGTTGTTAGTCCGGTTACTTCTGACCCTTCATTCAATAAAACTTACCAATTAATATTGAAGTAACTGTATCGAGAAAAAACAGTTATTCGGTCTATAAAATCGATGAAAGTAGTGGGTATGAAAGAGGGCTAATTATGTAAATATACCTGTAATGTCTAAATGAACACATGTTAATCGATTTCTGTATCAAATTAATAATTATTTAGGTAATAACCATCTGCTGCCCGTTGCTCACTATCAGCTACGGTATCATAAGGTTTTGACCACCAACAAGTGTACTTGTGTTGAATCGTTTGGAATAATCATTCCTTTTCCTTACAGACGGTCATCTATATCATCCACATCAAGCGGTATGAGTTCCTCCAGTACAGAATTAGATGAAAATAAATTGCAGCCATTTACAACCTATCGCTTGAAACCGATTTCACAAAAAGTCAAAAGCATGGTGGTAAGTTAATATTTATTGAACAATTTTCTTAGTATTGTTATTTAGGTTGCAGTTTGACTCTGTTGAAATGAAGTGCGTGATATTAATTTCATTGTGCCAGAGTAAAGCAAGTACATGCCATTTAATTATACTTTACCATGTTTTTCAGATGACTCTAACAGAAAGAGGACTGGTATGTCTCGAATTCTTAAAAGTGAAAAATGGAATTGAAACTATTGTAGAGACATTTACAGTGTCACAGGATGGACAAGAGATTTCTATCATGTACCCAAGACAGAGCAACGAAGAATCAAACCACAAACGGAATAAAGCCTATTCCATTCAAGAGCTTCCAGAAAGATTTCATAAGAAATATGAACACGCAAGAAAGTTTGTTACATTGATTCAATCAAAAACACCAAAGGTAACCATGTACAATCAACAAGCTAAATGTATGTTGATGGAAAATGCACCAATCGCCAGCTTTGAAGTTCAATTTTATAATGCCAAAGTAAAGCAAGTACATGCCATTTAACTATTCTTTACCATGTTTTTCAGATGACTCTAACAGAAAGAGGACTGGTATGTCTCGAATTCTTAAAAGTGAAAAATGGAATTGAAACTATTGTAGAGACATTTACAGTGTCACAGGATGGACAAGAGATTTCTATCATGTACCCAAGACAGAGCAACGAAGAATCAAACCACAAACGGAATAAAGCCTATTCCATTCAAGAGCTTCCAGAAAGATTTCATAAGAAATATGATCACGCAAGAAAGTTTGTTACATTGATTCAATCAAAAACACCAAAGGTAACCATGTACAATCAACAAGCTAAATGTATGTTGATGGAAAATGCACCAATCGCCAGCTTTGAAGTTCAATTTTATAATGGACGAAAGATAATCAATAATTGGAGTGGTATGAAATTAGTAGATGAACAGCAGGGCAGTATTTTGTCTCTATCATCACCTAGAATTCAGCAACAATTCAGTAACGAAATCCAACAAATGATAAAGTTTGCCGAACAGTGTCAGCAACAATGTGTTCAATTTGAAGCTTTAATAAAATCTACTGCTAGCTGCGTTGATGATAAAAACGAACTGTTCCCAGTAATTATTGGAAAGTAAGTACAATTTTATTTCATTTCGCATAACATTGAAATACAAACTTCTCCATTTAGAATACTCGCCCTCCGTTGTATTGAGTCATCATTAAAATTGAATATCACAATATATTTCATGTCATATCTCACTGTTTTTTTTAGGAAACCCACTTCTATTTCTGTGGTGGAGGAAGCAGTACCATTCCAACCTAAACCCAACCCAGTTAACATCAGTACCATAAGTAGTATCACATCAAGTAGTTGTTCTAGCTATTCGTCAGATACAGGCAGTAGTGTCATTAGACAGATCAGAGTTCCAAATATTGGACTAGCCTCTCAACTCGATAATGGTGATATTTGGGTAGAATTTGAAGATGGAAGTCATTTGGGTATCAAACCAACCGTCACAACTGTAACATATATCAACCATGTAATGACAAAGTAAGTGTATTTTTTGAACTTTGAAATAATTGATGCAACTTACTAATCAGCAACACGAATAAACCAGATTTCAGAAGCAAACGTATTCAAACATAATAAAGATAAAAAAAAAAATAGTTTTTCGATTTATACTTAATGTTTAATTTTAATCTTTCAGATACAGAAAATCTCAGCCACTTCCAGACAACGTAAAAGCCAAACTTGCTTCCGTTCCAATAGTTCTTGAGCAGTTAATGACCTCACAGAAAGCAGAAACTATGTCTGAACAGAGTTATTAGAAATCAACATGTTACTTGGCATATTTATAGTTCTATATTATTGTTATGTTTTTGTTATTGTTATTGTTTAAATTGATGTTATTTGTTATTTTCAAACTGAAATCGTATATTTATTCATCTATAAACCCTAATTATATATCTGTGCCATAATTTTTATAACTAATCATTATTGGTCTGTGATAAAATATTATATGTTATTTTAAATTCGTCAGCTTTCTGTGATAAATTTGTATATTGCATGATGAGATAAAATGTTACATTTCTTATTCGCTGTGATATTATATTTCTTTAACGTCGTTAGCTTTCTGTGATAAAATTGTATATTTCTTGAAAACATCCATCAGTGTTGAGTGATATTTTTTTTTATAATTTTAATGATTATGCAGCTTTCTGTGATAAAATTGTATCTTTCTTAATAACGTTGTTAGGTTTATGTGATAAAATTATATCTTTCTTGATAACGTTGTTAGGTTTCTGTGATAAAATTATATCTTTGTTAATAACGTTGTTAGGTTTATGTGATAAAATTATATCTTTCTTGATGACGTTGTTGGGTTTCTGTGATAAAATTACATCTTTCTTAATAACGTTGTTAGGTTTATGTGATAAAATTATATCTTTCTTGATATCGTTGTTAGGTTTCTGTGATAAAATTATATCTTTCTTGATAACGTTGTTAGGTTTCTGTGATAAAATTGTATCTTTCTTGATAACGTTGTTAGGTTTCTGTGATAAAATTGTATATTTCATGATATCGTCGTCAGTATCATCTGATAAAATTGTTTATTTCTTAATAGCATCATCAGTTCTCTGTGATATTTTTTGTATATTTCATGATAACAATACAGTTTTCTGTGATAAAAGTGTGTTTCATTTCATTTCTCTCGAGTACACTCAATAGTTTGTCCATGCTGGCCTCATCTGGGGCTAATAAACCTTTTTCATCATCTAATATAGAAATCTACAAATTGTCAATAAATTCTTCAACTTCTTTGATAAATTTAGAAAATAATTCCTCTGTAATGAGATAAATTAAACTACTGAGTATATGGAGAATAACAAGATAATTAATAAACAATAACAATCAATATCAAACTGAGTTTGAATTCACTCAAAATTCTCAACAAATCAATGACATAGAAAAACTGAAAAAGTTTCCTTGTTGAAAGAAATTCGAAATCAAACAGATGAAGAATAAAAATGGAAGAAAATGAAATGTTTATAATAAGTTATCAAACATTAGAATAAAATGTTTATAACATATTGAGACAAACATTGACACTTTCTCTAAATCATAACATGTCTTATATTTTGACAATGTCTTTCACATTTTTGAAACATTTGTGATATTAAAAGTAAACAATTTTAAATTTTAAGTTGCTTCTTATTTATCTTGTGTATTTTCTCAACATAAATTCATTTAAACTAAATAAAAGCTATTATTGTATGTGGGAAGATTTCATTGATATTTGGACTGAAAACAAAGTGACTTGTGTTCGAAGCCTGGTAGGCGCCATGGATATATTTAAAGTGGTAATATTGGTAAACATCAAATATTTCAAAATATCCAAGGAAGATAAATCGAAAGTATTTTGATATCTCTTTTCAAATTATGAAATTTATTTGATATTTAGAATAGAAATTATGAATTTGCAACGTGTTATCTAATAGTCTCCTTTTAATTCTAGTGAAATATTGATCTTTTTGATCTGTACATGTGGTAGGCACCATGGAGATATTTTAAGTGGTAACATTGTTAAACATCAAACATATTCAAGATATTCAATATTTGTTGGTAAAATAACAAAGTTTAAGATTATCAGATTAAAAGAAGTGGATTATCTCTAATTCATAGTTCACTATTGATATTGACAGCAAGTGGTACATTCTGTGTCTCGTCATTTCCAGATTGAATTAAATCAAAGCCTTAAATCACTTTCAGATTTTAATTTTTTATAGATCATATTAAGGCAAATTTACACAACGCCTAAAGGACCATGAGACCATTTTAAGATTAATCCAATCCCAAATCGAATCCTTATTCCACAATCAGTACCAATCTCCCAGTAGGAGTTACCACTGAAACGAAATTAATATTTTCGGTTCCTTTTATGAGATATATTAGCAATGTTAAATAGTAAATCTTCTGAAACGAGATAATTGGAACCACTGAGTATATGGAGAATAACAAGATAATTAATAAACAATAACAATCAATATCAAACTGAGTTTAAAGTAAACTATTTAATCTTCTGTTTGCTTAACAGTTTACAAACAAACTTCTTGACAGCTGATTATAAAATCAAGTGCAACTTTCTAAGATCTTCAGTATTCATTAACTCCTCTTACTTCCTACATAGCCATATTACAAATATGGAGTTCTTTCATAATCGTTCACAAAATCTAAATTTGAATAGTACTTTAAGATATGAGGACAGCTACGTCAATTCCTTACAATTTAATGGATATCAACTAATGCGACCATCTTCAGTGATCAATGACCCTGTTTTTGACAGTCATATACCATCAACACCACCTCATCTGCGAGTAGCATCACCTAAGACTCCCCCTACGGTCATCAGAAGGTATGTATTGTCCATATTATTAATCAATTTTAACATGATCTCATTTTTGGTGTTCCAATAATTTCATATTTCAATATATAATAAGACTTGCTATTTCCTTTAATTCTGCATTTCCATGGATCAAAACACTAGCCAAAATGTCAACATGTTATCAACTGCAATATACAATATTAAAAAGCTTACATAATGGTATTATTACGTACCACAATTAGTTGTCAGTCCGGTTACTTCTGACCCTTCATTCAATAAGACTTACCAATTAATATTGAAGTAACTGTATCGAGAAAAAACAGTTATTCGGTCTATAAAAGTAGAGGATATGAAAGAGGGCTAATTATGTAAATATACCTGTAATGTCTAAATGAACACATGTTAATCGATTTCTTTATCAAATTAACAATTATTTAAGTAATAACCATCTGCTGCCCGTTGCTCACTATCAGCTAGTGTATCATAAGGTTTTGACCACCAACAAGTGTACTTGTGTTGAATCGTTTGGAATAATCATTCCTTTTCCTTACAGACGGTCATCTATATCATCCACATCAAGCGGTATGAGTTCCTCTAGTACAGAATTAGATGAAAATAAATTGCAGCCATTTACAACCTATCGCTTGAAACCGATTTCACAAAAAGTCAAAAGCATGGTGGTAAGTTAATATTTATTGAACAATTTTCTTAGTATTGTTATTGAGGTTGACTCTGTTGAAATGAAGTGCGTGATATTAATTTCATTGTGCCAGAGTAAAGCAAGTACATGTCATTTAACTATTCTTTACCATGTTTTTCAGATGACTCTAACAGAAAGAGGACTGGTATGTCTCGAATTCTTAAAAGTGAAAAATGGAATTGAAACTATTGTAGAGACATTTACAGTGTCACAGGATGGACAAGAGATTTCTATTATGTACCCAAGACAGAGCAACGAAGAATCAAACCACAAACGGAATAAAGCCTATTCCATTCAAGAGCTTCCAGAAAGATTTCATAAGAAATATGATCACGCAAGAAAGTTTGTTACATTGATTCAATCAAAAACACCAAAAGTAACCATGTACAACCAACAAGCTAAATGTATGTTGATGGAAAATGCACCAATCGCCAGCTTTGAAATTCAATTTTATAATGGACGAAAGATAATCAATAATTGGAGTGGTATGAAATTAGTAGATGAACAGCAGGGCAGTATTTTGTCTCTATCATCACCTAGAATTCAGCAACAATTCAGTAACGAAATCCAACAAATGATAAAGTTTGCCGAACAGTGTCAGCAACAATGTGTTCAATTTGAAGCTTTAATAAAATCTACTGCAAGCTGCGTTGATGATAAAAACGAACTGTTCCCAGTAATTATTGGAAAGTAAGTATAATTTATTCATTTCTCAATGCGATAATTCATTAAACTTTAAACATGACATTCTAGATGTTCCTCGTTTAACAAACTGGGTCTGCTTTGTATTGAGTCAGCATTAAAATTGAATATCACAATATATTTCATGTCATATCTCACTTTTTTTCTAGGAAACCCACTTCTATTTCTGTGGTGGAGGAAGCAGTACCATTCCAACCTAAACCCAACCCAGTTAACATCAGTACCATAAGTAGTATCACATCAAGTAGTTGTTCTAGCTATTCGTCAGATGCAGGCAGTAGTGTCATCAGACAGATCAGAGTTCCTAATATTGGACTAGCCTCTCAACTCGATAATGGTGATATTTGGGTAGAATTTGAAGATGGAAGTCAGTTGGGTATCAAACCAACCGTCACAACTGTAACATATATCAACCAAACCGGTGTAATGACAAAGTAAGTGTAGTCTTTGAACTTTGAACTAATTGATGCAACTTACTAATCAGCAACACGAATAAACCAGATTTCAGAAGCAAACGTATTCCTTAAACATATAACAATAAAAGAAAAATAGTTTTCTCGTTTTTCGATTTATACTAAATGTTTAATTTTAATCTTTCAGATACAGAAAATCCCAGTCACTTCCAGACAACGTAAAAGCCAAACTTGCTTCTGTTCCAATAGTTCTTGAGCAGTTAATGACCTCACAGAAAGCAGAAACTATGTCTGAACAGAGTTATTAGAAATCAACATGTTACTTGGCATATTTATAGTTCTATATTATTGTTATGTTTTTGTTATTGTTATGGCATATTTTCATGATATTTGTTACCTTCATTCATTCTCCCATATTATATGATCGATCATGCTAAAATCATCAATTCTTTGTGATCAAATTTTACATTTCTTATTCGCTGTGATATTATTTTTTTAACAACGTCGTTAGCTTTTTGTGATAAAATTGTATATTTCTTGGTAACCTTGTTATCTTTCTGTGATACAATTGTATATTACGTTGTCAGAATCTGTGATAAAATCGAATATTTCATGATAACATCGTCAGTTCTCTGTGATATAATTAAAAAAAATAATGATAACAAAGCAGTTTTCTTGTCTAAAAGTATGTACTTATAAGTTTTCTGTGATAATTTCTAATTGTATTGCAGATCGTACCGTTACCATATGAAAAAATTGTAAATTATATCATATTTATTATTTTCTGTGGTAAAATGTTGTATAAGTACTAATTGATGTTTACAAAATATCCCACTCAAAGATCAAATCAGTGATTTTCAGAATTCCATGTTGCATTGATGTATCAATTGTTCTGAAAAAGACTCTTCATACCAAAAAATCGACTTATAGAAAATACAAACGAGTAGGTTATGAATCTGTCGCGGAGAACTAATAACGATGCAAAAGCAGATGTTGACAACAAAAAATTTCGTTGATTTCCTGAATTCATGGAATCTTACGAAAAATAATATTCTGCTAGGAAATTCAAGAAATCACTGACATTCATCTTCGTGCAAGAAAAATCCTTTTCGGGAGTTATTCGTAGTGAATCGTGGACAGTACGAGAAAATACTATGTTAACTCACAGTTGATTGTATTTGTTTGAAATAAAAGAATGTTACAACGTATTAATATTTGATCTATAATCTCTGAAAGGGGCTAGACCTAGAATGACTGATCTGAATTGGAGGTGATTGCTAACTAAGATATAGATAGGTACAAGGATCATAATAAAAAGATTAAATCTTTTATGGTTGTTCACAGTAATGTAGTTGTGTTATAAGGATGAGATGGGGTTCTCGTAATATGTGGTGTTGTGTTGTGCAATACCCGATAATACACAAAGAGCACGATCAAAATAAAACGTCTGGTGTGTCAGATTGGACCTGTACAGGCAATCATCTTGGTTAAACACATAGTGTTTGTTGTAGCAATCGGGAACCAATTCACTTATTCAAACCATAAATCTGACGATTTACATAAGTTGGTGAATATTACCTTGAACGGATGTATTCTCAAATAATTAATAATAATAAACTCTTTATTTTACATGGGTCAGAATTTAACAATATATACACAAAACTATAAATATCAAACATAAAAGAACACCACTGATACACCAATCCCTAAATTAGTCGAAACTGTGGCCTATCAACAAGTTTAAATAACGGGTGTAATAGGATTGCTATAACAATCACACAGTGAATCAGTTCACCTGAACAACCATACAATCTAATCAGTTTATTATTGTAATTGGTACAATCAACGATAGAATACCGTGAGTGGTGGTACAAAATAATATTGGTTTGTGAAAATAAGTTAACAGGAAGGATTCCTATAATACGAGCAATTTACGGTTGATCGTTGCGATATGCATATAGGAGGGTCATGGAAAAGGGAAATATTTGAATGATTAAATTGGTCTGAAAAATAAGGTCAATAAAAATAAAAGATCAATCCGGAATATTTATATATATGATATTTAAAAAATATTCAAAGTCATCAAAATTTTATTGACCTATTCTATTAACTATAAACGGAAGTGATACCGAGAGTAGTTTAGGAATAGGCAATTAAAAAAAATTATTGAAATCATATTCAATCACAACAAACTGATCTAAAGAGATTATTTTTTGAAAACAAGTTGAATACAGCTCACCAGTACAACCTTAAACGTTTAAATTTCAATGATAGTTGATTAGTGCAATCATGAGAGTTGATAATGGGTCACCTATTTTCGTGTACAATGTATGATTTATAAATAAGTCGAGAAAAACACGTATGGATACCAGGTGGTATAATTAACTTCTCTTAGTATTTATCTTTAATATCAATTCATTATAACTAGTGACAATTCCTTAAAAGAACCACGATTTTTTTTAAAAAAATAGTGACTGACAAAATAAGATACGTAGCGTGATTTATTGCTAAAAGTCACTGAAACAACATAAGAATATGGCCCACTTTGTGTTCCATAAAAATTTTCTGCTGACACGGAATCCGCTAGTTGATCACGTAACTTCATTCGTTGCACTACATTCTAGCAGACGACACTTGGAATTCCGATTACCGCTTGGGTTATAAGGAAATTCGGCCGATAAAAAATGGTGACGTTTGGTAATAACTGAAATCCGCCATTTTGTATTTGTCAAAGTATACATTAATACATTTGACCTTGCTTGAAACTGCTGAAATCATTCTACTAGCTGATATTGTACAGAAAACCCATGTTTATCAAAACAAGCAAATACGGAGGTCACGCGAGGTCGGACATGTAAATTATTAATCATCTCCGAAAATGCACGAAAAATAGGTTACCACGAAATTAGGTTACTTGACTAATTATATATTACATCCTCAATCCCCTGTACTGGTGGAAAGGGGTGAGAATCTTTCGAAAGCTCAGCATCAACATCTAAGATAACGAAGACGATAAAACAAATAAAGCAGTTTACATTAAATTTAAAGTTAGTCCGTGGGCGCGGGACAACTACACAACTTTTTACAAACACTATTATTATTGACCAATGATGTGAAAAATTAACTTTTAACCTTACGTGGCACTCAAATAAAAACGAAATTGCTTTATACATCGTCAATTTAAAAGAAATGAATTGAGTTTTACGTCCGCCCTATTTGTAAGCACCATGCAAGTTGCAATGAGGGAAATTTTGCCAGGACAGCGACATTAGCATGCTCTTCGATTTGCAACTGTCGGAGGATCTTCGTACATAGCCTGTAGCACACGGGGCCCCGGTTTATTGTCCCATCAGAAAGACTAAACATTCTTTTCATGTCAGCCCTCTTACCTGCATCACTGATGGGTGGAAACCGGATTGAAAAAAATCAAAAGTTATTATCCCGAACTATGCCGAGATTGGACCCTATAAGCGCCTAACTCACTGAACCACCACGATGGGAAAGGACTTGCTTTTAATCAAACTTCTATACAAACATCAAACGAATAATTTCACTTAAATTAAAATATATTTATATATTACTGGTCATAAAATTTTTTAAATTGCTAACTGTGATTTCAAGAAATATTCAGATCACTACTTGATATATAAACACTGTTAAGAGGCTGTTAAACTTATTTTCATGTGACATTAAGTATTTCTAAATGTAGTAAAATTGGATTTATAAATAAAACAACCGCTTCAAAACAAAATCAAAATATGATCTTTACATAAGTAGCTCCATATACAATTTAATGACGATCTGAGAGGATTAATTAAATACTTGATGTCAATTTCTCTAAAGTACACTTTAAGGTGCAGCGAGATTATTCCTCCATTCTGGTGTATGCTTGCATTATTTATCAAGGATGTGGCACGTTTTTCCTCTTCTCGTTTTCTTTCTGTCTAGATTTTAATACCGATCGTCCTTTCATATTTTCTCTCTATTACCCCTTTCAAGATTCTTGATCGATTTCATTATCCTCCGCCCCTTTAAATCTTTACTAATTTTGGATTTTCTCCTAGATTGTCCTTGCAATCTTTATCGTGATGGAAAATATAACCTGTTTGAATAGAAAGCTTTAAGTTTAATTGTCAGATAATTTTAAGCTTGACTACAAAGCGCCTCATTACCCACAAAAACATCACCCTCCAGGTTGAATACCTTTGTTCTAGAATTTGCAATTTAATGTTATAATCACGCAGATCTATTTTGAAATTTTTTTGATATTTATCCATTGATTCTCAAGTAGGGTTATGATGAAATTATCATGTGATATCTATGTTATTTTGATTTCTATCTTTATAGGGGCAGTGTTAACTTTTTAGGTCTGGAAAGTAAGGCGATCGAATTAACGTTCAAAATCTACAATTGCCCAATCTGAAAGATTCAACTTACAGTATCTTCCCATTAATATTTATAACGGCAACAACTATTTAAAGTGTTAAAAGTAAACGTAAAACTTTTTCACCCAACATGCAGTTTTAACTTCACTTTACGACTATGATAATGAGATCGAAAGTTATTAATGAGGAATAGAAGCAAATAAATAAGGTGATTAACACTAGCAGGTTAGCAGGGTCCAGTAGGACTGACAGAAATTTTTAGAATACATTGAAAATTAGGAATATAAAGGGGTATTGATTACTGCAATCAATAACAATTGATAAGCTTTTTTCAAGCAATATACCGCACACTGTTTCTGCTAACTACTCACAAATACATAAACAGCATGATACGTTTTCATTCAATACCAATTAGTAGGTAAAGTCTTACTGATTTATTCAATCAAGTTGGAACGATTGGGTAGAAGTTGGTTGGATGCGCCGGTAACCCTGGGTGAGTAGATATTGTCGGTCGTTCTTTAATCGATTAGGTACTTAGGGCTTAGCACAATGATTGGTCACATGACCTCTAAGTATATATAGAAAATTTACCTCAAATATCACCAGAATTAAAAATTATATATTTACAACTAAAAATGGCATCGGAAAAGCCAGATATTTCGGAACAAAATGTAACAAAAGAGAATGCCAACATAAAAGATAGTTTAGCGGTAAATTTTTAATCATAATCAAATCGTTATTTGATAAAAACAATGAAAACTATAACAAAATATTGACTTTTTGAACCTATATTATGTCTTGAATTTCAAATTTATTAATTTCAGAATTACCAGATATTCAACCAACTTGGAAATGGAGGCTTTGCTAATGTTTATAGAGGTCTAGCAAATAAAACAGGTCAACCTGTAGCAATTAAATTGGTAAGTATATAACACCACAGAGGAATAAAATGTTTTTCAACTTGGGAAGGTGAAATCCGAATAACCGAAATTAAAATTGGAATGAGACAAATTCATTAGTAAATTTCAGTGAGAATAACATGGGACTTGCAAGTAAAAAAAAGATTAATTGTAGGCTATTATTCTATTTTTCAGATTGACAAGAAAATTATGAAAGAAAAGGGGATGACTGAAAGAGTAAAAAAAGAGGTTGAAATTCATTCTAGATTGAAACACTCTTCGATATTAGAGGTAACTTTGATAATATGCTCAAGTTAAAAAAATAGCAATTTTTGACATTGGTAACACTTGTACCTTTTAGACATTGGTAACATTTGTACCTTTTTTTACATTGGTAACATTTGTACCTATTTTACATTGGCAGCACTTGTTAACACTTGTGCTTTTTTTTACATTGTTAACACTTGTGCTTTTTTTCTTACATTGGTAACACCTGTGCTATTTTTTTTACATTGGTAACACTTGTGCCTTTTTGGCATTTGTAACAATTGTACCTTTGGTACTTTTGTACCTTTTTTTTTACATTTGTAACACTTTTGCCTTTTTGATCTCGGTAACACATGTGCCCTTTTGACATTGGCAACACTTGTACACTTACAATTAATACAAGTTAAAATTCCAGGTTGATAAATTGAAGCAAATGAAATGTTAACATGGTCATAAATTTTTCATTTTATCGATTTCAGCTTTACAGTTATTTTGAAGATGCTGACTATGTATATTTAGTACTGGAAATTTGTGAAAATGGTGAATTGTACAAATATCTTCAAAATAATGGCAAGATTTTGAGCGAAGAAAAGGCCAAAGATTTCTTATACCAAATAGTACAGGGATTGCTCTATCTACATTCACATGGTATATTACACCGTGATTTAAAACTATCCAATATACTTATTACTTCAGATAATAAATTGGTAAGCATCATTCATAAATTCGATAAATATTCATATAAATCCACTTCAGTCTGCTTCATTTCCATCTCATTTATTTCATTTCCTTTTTATCTCATTTATTTCATTTCCTTTTTATCTCATTTATTTCATTTCCTTTTTATCTCATTTATTTCATTTATAAAACTAATTCATCTAAATTTTTCGTTAAATGTTCGCTATATAAACCGGAATATATAAACTGTTCATTGATTAAATATTTATAAAAATGAGTGACAATAATGAATTGTTTTTCGTTTTTAGAAAATTGCTGATTTTGGATTAGCAACTCAATTGTCTATTGCTGGAGAAAAGAGATATACAATGTGTGGAACTCCAAACTATATTTCACCGTAAGAACTATTTTATTTACAATTATAAGTGTTCTATCTTCTCGGTGTACAAAGGTGTTCCTTGATATTGCTTTTGTTCCTTTGATTTAACTCAATATTCTCTTTTTGCCTTTCATAGAAACATTTGCTTATATTGAATCTTAGGAAATATTGATAAAAATGTTACACTTTCGTTTCCGTCTATGTGCGATGTCTGTCTGTAAGGGTATTTTTAACTTAGGGCCTAGTGTTTTACTTTTTTTTGTTGTTGTATGTTTTATCATTAGTGAAATATTTCTATCTAATTTCAGTGAAGTTGTCACACGATCTGCCCATGGTTTAGAAGCTGATGTATGGTCTCTAGGGTGTATGTTGTATACATTTCTAGTGGGGAAACCCCCTTTTGATACCAATACTATAACCCATACTTTGAATAAAGTTGTCTCTGCAGAATACAAAGTTCCTAAACATTTATCTTTAAAGGCCAGAGATTTAATTAGATTGTTATTGCAGAAAATACCAAAAGACAGAATTGCTCTTAAAGGTAATTAGCTTTAACATTCGTGAATTAAAATATTTGTTGGGAGTATGTGTAATCCGCTAGTCGGCGAGACAGAAAATAAGTGATGAAGATATTAAAATTTACCCCCCATAAATAAAATAAATTTGTATTTTCAGATATCCCATACCACCCGTTCATGGTAAAGGAAGCCGCTGACCCGAAACCCCAGGAGATTGATCAGGTGCGTCAATAATATGTTTCATTATACAGAGATAAACTTATTTAGATTATCGGCTTAAATTGTGGATTATCGATTGAAACAAATCAGTATTTGAAAATCCCTGGTATATCGTCAACTGTAAAAACGATGTCAATGTCATGTCGCCTGTCAACAAACCTTGGCAATGATTTAGACTGTTTTAGGCAATCCTGGTTGTATAAACATAAAGGTTTACATAAAAATATTACGCAAGGAGAACACTTATGCCCATATCATTTTTTATTAATCTACAAAATACTTTCAAAAAGTAAAAATCTTAATTTTTTTTTTTAGAAAATTAAAAGCACTTTAAAGTAGTCTTTTGAATCGGCAAAGTGTGGGATTTCACTAAATACTTGATCGAACTAATCATTGAGATAATGGGATTATCAGGATTAACGTGTTAAAGATAAATCAATGGATGGGATTAGCAATACTATCATTAGTAGTTCATTATACTCTGTAATTCGCTTGATTGTTGAATTAGTAAATATATAAACAATTTACCGTTTACTAACAGTTTTGTTGAAATTATTGCTTGGCAACGTAAAATTCATTTCCGTAATAGTACAAATGCTTGAATGAAAACTGTTAAACCTCCTAGTGACATTTACAACTTCCTTATCACAAAATGGTGAGATTTTCTAACTGTTTTCAATCATAATATCTGTAATAAGCATATTGATAAATGGACAATATGGCTAGTTAGCGGTATAGTAGAAAGTATATCGCTGTGTTTCACACCTGCCTCTACAAAATCGATCGATAATTCTACCTGAGTCATTCGATCGATTTTCACGAGCAAATGAACACAGCGTTGATTCTGTTAAGGATTTTGTGAAATATTGCCGAATTTGTGACAGATTTGGGAATTATTTGTATTTTTAGAAACCACAGATACCATATGACAGCCGAAGGTATACGATGCAGACGACTACGTCACATAATCCAAATAGATCACTTTCTCCTACAGCTAGAATTTCGGACAAGTAAGTGTCAATGTTATTAATATTCTGTCACTTAAATTCTATACTATGGTATTTTTTCAATGATTCGAAGACTAGGTATAGTACAATGCTGAATGTCAGAACAATCAACACATTGACACCTTTATACAAAAAACTAGTAACATGTTTTGTTGTCAGTGGAATTGATAGTATGCTATTATAACAGATCTGCCAAAATTTCCTTTATTACATACTGCTTTCCGTTGCCTGTCTCTGTCTTCAGAAAGGAAAAATATATATATTTATTTATTCAATTTGCAGTGAATTGGAAACGAGTATTCACTATACTAAAGATGAAATCAAAACATGTTCCTGTAAACATCGTCAAGCCTGCAATAGTCCAACTGAAGAACTGATTACCAAGGGAGATAAACCAGTCAAGAGAATTCACGATTTCGTTCTTCCATTGGATACATGTAGAGTCAAACCACTTTCTCAGAAAACTCGGAATGCAGTGGTGAGTCTTTTTATGTTTAATTATCATGTATCTAGATCAAATATTATCTACAATAAAGGATTATTTTTACTTCTAAACAATTCACAATACATGCGAATCAATTGCAGGGCGTTATAGAAATATTACCTATGTGAATATGAATCTCCATGGTCTCGTGTCAATAATGATCATAATTATCATTGTTCTAATCATTATCATCATCCATATCACTATTTTTCAGATGACAATTGTTGAGAATGGTGAAGTTTGCTTAGAATTCTTGAAAATGAAAGAAAATGTTGAGAAATTACTAGAAATCTTCACTGTATCAGCAGACGGTCAACAAATTATCATCAGACAACCAGACAGAAAAACGGAAACCAGAACCACGTATGCTAATCTCGCTGAGAAACAATGGAAAAAATATCATTATGCTTACAAGTATGTATATTCTTTCAGGTATATTTCTCATGCAGATACTTGAATAGACAAAGCTACGAACTCAAGAACTTGCTTTCTGCTAAATACGATCGGATAAACCTACATATAGGGGCTACGCATGAATTGTTTAAACCACTCCCATCACGTTCAGGTATAAAATGTTCTAAAGGAATTGTTAATTTACTTTCAGATTTGTCGAACTGGTGAAATCCAAAACACCTAAGATAACCATGTATACTGAAGAAGCTAAATTTATGTTAATGGAAAATTCTCCAGATAACTCTTTCGAAGCTAACTTCTATGATGGTAAGTGCAGTTTACTCTTAATTCTACATTTTAAAGTGAAATATTATATTCAATCTTTTAAAATTTAGGTCCAAGAATGAAACTTTCACATCAATAAATAATGTAACGGGACAAGATCAATTTATTTCTGCATTTCTTGTTTTATGACACTATCATTAATTCTTAAATTTTTCATTTTAGGAACCAAACTAATGATAACGTCTGAAGGAATCAGTGGAAAATCAAAGACCGGTGTTAATATCACAGAACAATCATCATCATCTGAATTACGAGGAAGAATTCAAATGGCAAAGCAATGGCTTCAACAATGCCGCCATCTTGAAACAGTAATGTCTTCCTTACAACACCAAAGACTGGACAGTAACAATATGTTTCCTTTGGTTCTGGGAAGACGACCAGGTTCTGAATCAGTCAATATTACTGCCTCAACAGAAATAATGTCTTCCCTTGCCTCAGACGAAGCTGATCCTAGTTTTGAACCCACATCCTCGTCAACACACCATGAAAATATAAACGATAACCAATCTAACGTGCCACAACCAAAACAATCTGCCGGTGTTCCAGAAACTGCCAACAGAACTATCGCTTCTCAGTCATCCGTCACCACCTCAAACTCTTCCTCAAATCAGAGTTGGGGATACGACACCAGTATGCAATCAAATCAAGTGCTAAAAGAACTATTTGTGCCGGAAGTTGGATGGGCATCACAGTATGCTAACGGTGATATATGGGTTCGTTTTAACGATGGTAGTCAATTAGGTGTAAAATCAGCAGTAACAGCAGTGACCTTTATTGACATCAATACTAAGATTTACAGGTAAGAACAGTTATTCATTTATACATATCATTAAATAAATACGGTCGCATTAGTTCTCCTTGATTTAAACCATTAAATTTTAACTGTAAACGCTTGTTTTTGAAAAACTTGACATATAAAAAACTTATAAACAAAAGTTCTTACTATTTTCTTATCTTATTTTCAGATATACCAAGTCTGACAGTCTTCCAGAGATCGTCAAAATGAAGTTAGCAAAATTCCCTGCTGTTTTGGAACTCTTAAGATCCTCCTCTCCCCGAGTGTCTCTTCTACAGTGAAATTAAATTTTGAAAAGTGCAATAACGTTCGGTTTTATTCATTAATAGAGACAACGAAATCATACAAGGATATGTGCTATTCATTACACATTAGTAAATTATTCATTCATTTATTTTTTGCATTTCCTAGCATTATTTAATCTATGTGTTCAATTTACAAATTTTATATTTAGTACTTTTATTCTGTATTAATGTATGTTATTTATTTTATTTAATTTAAAATTAATTTTATTTATTTTGATTTATTTCAATGGTGATATGTTAAAACTGTGATATTTTATAAGTGAAATTCTGTGATAAATTTATAATTGTGAACAATATGTCATGTTGTCAGTTAATTGTATATGTTTGTATTCATACTGTTATTATTGATATTATTTATTGTACATTTCCGTGACTAACCTTGTTATATTAACGTATTGTTATTGTTGAAAATTAAATTAATTATGGGCTATTCATATGCCATTTCATATTTTTGATACATCTTGTCAGAGATCTTGTCAAATGTCAGCACAGTAAAGCGATAAAGGAAGAGAGTTTAGTAATATTTAAAATAATTTGATACATAAGAAAAAGCAACATGAAACACCCGAGAAACTTATCTTGGACATTTTATCGCCCTTAGGTAGACTGGAAATGTGTGGCTCAATTTTTTACACAAATCTCCATGAAATGAAAATAGTTCTCATTATAATACCAAATGATAGGCTAACTTGCAACAAAGGCGCCTTCAGACCAATTTACGTGACCCTACTATGCATCTGATTAAAAGCTCGCATAGTTTTAAGACAGTAGCGGCACCAGTGGTGGTACATGTTGGGGGGGGGGGGGGGTGGCATTTGCCTCCCTATAAAAGTGGTACCCCCACTTTATTTTCTTGAGAGAACCCTCTAAGACGTTCTATGAGAAGCTTTCGATTATGACACCATCCCAGACTACCCAAAATTTGGATTCAGTCTCAGCAATTGTCCCCCCCATTGAGTCAGTCTGCCCCCTATTTGTACGCATAGTCTCGGAAGACTGTTTTAAGATGAAACACATACAACTAAAACTTCAATTTAACTGAGCAAACTTGATCCCAACAACGATTTAATCAAACCTTAAAGATTTAACCTTAAGTCCGATAAAACTTAAATTCAAACAAATTCCGTTAGTTCTACAGACAGAAAATAGTCTTCGAATTTTGCTAGTTGGTTTGGGGTCAGTAAAAGACCAGATTAACAATTTCAGGACCATTGGACATATACATTTTTTTTAAATTTTAAAATAATATGAAATAAATTAATTGTATCCGTAAATTTTCGTAAAATATCAAAAAGAATGGATAGGGACTCTAATTACTGGAGGGCAGATAACTCTCAGAAAAAAGGGAGGGGAATTTTAGCCACCCATTAAAATCATCAGGAAAAACGAGTCGTGATTCACCCAGAAGAGGTTTTATTTGCAGACAACAGTGAGTGTGAAAGTGATTTAGAACTTGATGATGAAGATAACAGATTTATAGAT